GAAAAGAAAATTCACAAAAAGAAGGAGAAGTAGACAAAGAAGAAGTAACTATGTTTCTTACGAGCTAAGGTGCAACGATGGTACTAAGCGGACCGAGTACGATCGAGTTACCAGTTTCGAATGTCCGCAGTAGTCGTGTGTGAGTGGATCTAGAGTTTCGCGCTCGGATTTCGTAAAAAACGTGATTTCGAAACGGGCAATAGAAAAATAGATAGACAACTTTGTGGGACGAAAGATCATCTTCGATCTTTCTGATCTTCTATGTGATATTCTTTGCTTCGTCCCTTTTCTATTTTCAGATCGGTGACGTATATACATATATACATGTACTCGTACGGTTCACTTCGTACGGCAAACTATACTAATGTTAAATAAGAGAGTGGAAAAAAAGGATGGACCGGGAAGACGAAGCAAAAGGAAGAAACCGAGGTAAGAGATTTCGTCGAGGCGTAGTAGAGGGGCACTGAAAATTGGAAACTGGTGGGGGTGATGGAGACCAGCCGCATAATGACAGGGTGCCTCACGCCAAGGCCCCGCTAACGAACCGGCCCACGAGACCCAAAAGGGTCCAGGCTAGGAGACGACACTGTATTATTTTACCATTTCGGGGGTCGGGGGCATCATCAGAAATCATCGCCGAATCCATATAATCAGTAGACGGTTACGTGCAGCTATGATTTTAAAAGCAGAAGGAAGGGGACCGAGAGGGGTAAAAAGGACTAAGGGAGGGAGGATGAGACCTAATAAGGCGAACGGTGGTAGGTACTTTCGATATCTTCGTCCTCGTCCCTGTCCTCGCCCTCGTCCTNGTCGTCGTCGTCGTCGTCGTCGTCGTCGTCCTCGTCATCGTCGTCGTCGTCATACTCATCCCCAACCTCATCTTCGTCATCGTCATCGCTCGTCTCTCAAAGATCTTTCGAACTTCTGAGTTCTTGATACCAACTTATAGTACTCGTTGCGGCCACTAATGACACAGACCCGATAAAAAGTAAACCCCTTCTACCTTTTTCTCCCCTCTCTTCCATCTCCTGCTCTTCCTCCTCCGCTATCTTGACGCGTTACACGAAAGGTAGGGCTTAAAACGTTCCAATGAGCTCGCAAATGCCCGGACGAAACGATCCTGAAGCGCGATCAGAGACGAACGTACGAAATTACATCGCAATAAAAAAAAAAAAAATAAATGTACGTATACACTTAGTTACATTACGTGGAAATAAAGAAGAATCAGAGAGTCGATAAAAACTCGTCAAATACTCTGCCCGCTTATTTTTCTCTCATGTTCTGCGGATCTATTTATTTTAAAGATCTAGAACAGAATTTTAAAGATCTAGAATAATCCGTTAATTTTAATTAAATGACATATTAAATGACAAACGAACAAATGATATATCAAATGAAAAAAAAACGTTCGTTTTAGTTAATAATCTTGGACATGGAAATAAAATTAATATTTATTACATGAAATATTAGTTATTGCAGTTGCGGAAAACTCTCATGAGAAGATCAAGATTAAGGCAAAATACGAAAAAGCAATATACGATCACACGGTGAAAGTTGATTGATAAAGATCTAAATGAATGTTGTTGGTGGATATGAAATGCCTCTTGTGCGTACCGAGTCCATTTTGCGTAGGAACGACCGGTTTGTTACAAAAATCGAATAAAACATTCACGTGTCGATCGATAACTTGAATCTTTGAAAAAAATATATTGAATAAAATTTACATGTTAGTTTCCTTGACCTGTTTTGCGTACGGCAAGTGGAGAAAAATGGTAAATGATTCGGTAAATTTTATTCTAGTAGAATTCCAAATATCTTTTCCAAATATCTATCAATAATATTCTTGAAAAAAAATGTAACAAATCATTCGAAAAACCATAGAAATTCAAAAAATACATAGAAGAACAAAATAAAAATATTGAAATATATAACGTGTTATCTCGATAATTAGAAACTTTCTCCAAATCGATGTTGGAATTAGTTTTAAGATTTCTTGGATCGTATGCGCGAATCGAAGTGTAAGATAACTTTTACACTTCTTTTCGTTTTTATACCGTCTTCTTTTTCCTCTATCTTCGACAAACAATCAAAACGGCTATTGCTCTCAAATTGCTGCATCTTTGTTTGTCATCAAATCGAATAATCTATCGTTCGATATTTGTTTTTTTTCTTTTTCTTTATTGATAATTTTGTTGTATACCTAATTTTATCATATTTATAAACATTACAAGAATAACATTTTATCATTTGAAAATCGAAAAATTATCAATGATCGTTACATGCATATGTCGTTATCATATGTCGACATACACATAGATAGAAAACAGAAGAAAGTTATATAACTATTCCGATATATTTTAGAAGTAAAAAGAAGTATATAGCGTCATCTCTCGCCAATACGATGTACGAGAAACGAAGAATCTTTTGATAACTGCTAATTTAGAA